ACCTGCTGCGCGGGGACTCCCGGTGCTTGTAGCGGCTGGGCAGGCATCGGCGGCGCGGGAAATCCCGGTGCAGGAGCAACTTGTAACTGCGCGGCGTGTGCGTCCAGGAAATTGGCCATTCTAACGTCCAACATTCCCGGCAGGCCTTCCATCACATCCTGGAATGCCCGCATTAAGTCTCTCACCGAGTCTTCCAGTTCTGCTAGTCGTTCCCCGGTAGTTTCCTCCGGGATGGGGTCCCGAGGGCGGTAGTCCGGGGGTGGGTCATAGTCCTCTTCCGTTTGGAAGGCTCCGGTGCCCTCCTCATCTTCTGCGTGACCACGCGGTCCCGACGGCTCGAACATCCACTCCTCGATGTCTTGCTTGGGACTCTCCTTCTCCGAGGTAGACCCTGGCTCCGGGAACAATCCCTTGTCAAACAGACTCTCACGTAATCCGCTCCCCCGACGGGAGTACACCTCACGGGTGCCTTGGGTGTTGTACATAGTCCAATCATCCTGCTGGTGAGTCTTCCGCGGACCCCATTGCGAAGGGGTCGGAGGCGGCCAAGACAGATGTGCAGGCAGGCGGGGAATCGTTCCCCCCACGGCACCCTCCATCGAGGCTGCAGTCGTGAACACCAAAGACGCGGAGGTTTGTGGGACCGATCCCGAGTCCCCCTCCGTGTTAGGTAGGTTTCCCTCAATTCCGCTCATGATCTTGCCAGATTCGGAACGATAGGAGAAAGGGAGTTCTAACAATATGTTGGATCCCCAAGCATCGAGAATAAATCCACGTTTTCAAGAAAAGCAAAATTTATTTCAAAGCGTTGAAGACATACTCAAACACGTTCTTTGTTAGAACTGGGGATACACAGTTAGGTCAAGCATAATAAAGGAAATTCAAACAGATACAGATCCAATGAATAGCATTCCCGCTGGCGGGCTAATGAAACGGTTGCGCGCCCAGTCCATGGGAACCAGGCAGAACATCAGACAAAACACAGGTGCAGTACTCATGAGAAAAGCAATAGGCAAGCATTACAGCATCTTCTCCCCCACACAACCTCCAGCAGTTATCTTGTGCATTCCAACGCAGGAACAGGATGATAGAAAACAAGCCGGGTGCAACAGGGAAAGGATATGTACACAGAGGTCACAGAAAACAGAATGGCAGCTTGCTGACACAGGGCTGACATTGTCTTTTTAAGAAGATATTGGTAATCTTCCGCTTTAAAAAACCTCATAGAAGGTTCAGGAACCTCCATGTCTTCTTCTTCCTCCTCCTCATCTGAGAAAAATTCTCCCTCTTCTCTCTCATCAGCTTCGCTATCACCCATCTGAGAGAGATCCCAAGGCACATCTTCCCTCAAAGAACAATGATGTTCTTTTCTGGCCGCCTTAGTTGGCCAGCTAGGTCTCCCATCCCCTGGACAAACATTGTTTTGTGAACTCTGTGAGTAAAAATCGCTAGGATCATGGGAGTGCCCTGTACAGGCAGTAACTGGGTGTGTGTGTGGGGGGGGGGGCACGGTTAATGGCGGCAACCTCTTCCCTCATCGTTTGTCTAAGAAATTGTATCACCTCAGGGGATAAAAGCACCCTAGTTTCCTTGGCAATGTTACTCATGGTAGCCTCGGCAAGATTGTCACAATCCTGTGTCTGCACGATTGCAACATCATCCAAGGTTACATTGTGGCTTGTGGAAGCAGCGACAGCTGCCCTGCAGCCTCTCCCTGTCTCCTCAGGGGATTTAAGTTTTGCCGGTCGGTTTAAAATGGCGCCCGCCTCATGTTCCGTTGACGGAGAGTGAGGATGCTTCTTTGCCCGTTTCTCTTTTGATTTGGCTGTGCGCATTTTGGTGGAGGGGATGGAAGAGACCTCTTTTCCCCTCTTTTGACTTCTCTTGTGCCGGCATAAGGGTGTTTCCCCGTTCAGTATCGGAGAAAAAACCGTCTGAGTCGTCTCTCTCCAACATTCTCCAGACGGAGCGTCGGTTGAGGGCAGGCAGATGAGGAGTTTGAGAGAAATAACAGAATGTAACAAGAGTAACAGATTCAGTTGAGTTAAGTTGAGTTGAGAAAATAGGTAAAGCTAGGAAAAGAAAAAATTGGCTGGGTAGGTAATCGGTGGATATACAGCACGAGTGCTAGCTAAGTGCTGCTCTCCCTATAGAGGCAGGAACGAAACTGGAAGCTGAGGGGCGTTTCCTACTACTGGACAGGAAGTGAAGTTCTTTGTTCCTGCCTCCCTAAGGAAGGGGTCGGAAACACCCAGCAAGATGTCCTCCGCTCAGAGGGAGAACATGTAATTTCCAGACATTCATGAAACAAGAGATCCCCATTAACCACAAATCTTGCCTCCAGATAGGTACCCAAAAGGGTTTTCCAGTTATCAGGGGGGGGGGTGTTTGGTTGTATTTTTAAAATGTGTGTGTGTGTGCATGTGAGTGTGCACCTGAACGTCATGGCAACCTCTGGTGACTGACCACTACTGGGGGGGGGGCTGGAGGATATTCAGAGGGATGGTTGAGTAAAGCCTCTGGTATTTCAAGGAGGTCTTCTATCCAAGTACTTGCCAGAGTCAACTCTGCTTAGCTTCTGAGATCTGACAAGATCAGGCTTGCCTGAGCTATCCAGGTCAGGGCCCAGTGACAGATTTTGTATAGTTTAACCACAGTTTGGCAAATCTTTAGTACAGTAAAATGTTGTTTACTTTTTTATTGTAATGTATAGTCTCATTCTAAAAGGCACATGTCCATAGATGTAAAATAACACAACTCCTCATTTTCTTAGGTTGTAATAAATGGTGGTGCAACATCTAGTGGTGATCAAGACACAGAAGATACGGAGCTTATGGCGATATATACTACAGAAAACGGAATTGCTGAAAAGGTATCTTAACAGTGAAAAGTATAATTGGAGATGCCATAACCAAATTAAATCTCCTGACTCACTTGTTGTGCTTGCACACAAAAGCGTTTACCTTGTTGGTCTTAAAGGTGCCACTGGATTCAAACTTTGTTTTGCTGCTTCAGACTACATGGCTACTGACCTGAATCTATCAGGATGCTACTGTGACTCTGAAACAGTCTGCAGTTGATCACTTGTTTTTTGTCAGGGGTGCCATTTAAGGACATGTGCATGATTGTGTGAAGATGATGGGGAAAGGCTTAGAGCAGTGATACTCAGTGGCTCAGGAGCCACTTTTGAGCACTGTTCCACAGTGTGGCACCTGCCCCAGGTTCTAGGACAGAGAGCAAAGCCATTGTTCAGC